CCCGCGCCCCGGCCCCGGCCAGGCCCCCGGCCCCGGCCGCCCGTACCTTCGTAGCAGAGGATGCCGATGTTGTTCATCTTGTCCAGGTACTGGAAGTTCAACAGGTCCATCCTCATAAACAGCATTTATCGGCGCGCGAGGAAACCAGCTCTCCGCCCGCGCCCCCGGAGAGGACGCTGCGCGCCGGTGGCGGCTGCCTCCCGCCTCTGCTCGGCGCCGAGGCCGGCCCGGGAGCCGACAGCGTCCGGCGAAGTTGAAAGAGAAAGAAAGGGCGCGCGCAAAACCCGGCTCAGACCCCTCCTGGGGGACGGGCGTCCGGCGCGCGTCCCGGGGCCTCGCCGCGGCGGAGGAAAGCGGGCGGGAGCGTCGGCGAGGCTATCCCGGCAGCGGGAAGCGGCGAGGAAGGAGAACGCGGAGCCCGCTTCCCAGGACAAAGCCGCGCTCACAGCCCGCTGCGAGCCGACTGCGCGGACACGCGGGGCGCGCGGCGGGGGCGCCCAGCCCGGGAGCCGAGCATGCTCACTGTGCCGCGGGCTCCTGCTCGGCCGCCGGAGCCCGCGCCGGGGGAGGGGCGCGCAGGAAGCGGCGCCCTGCGGACGGGAGGAGGGGAGCGGGAGCCAGCGGGTTTCTTTTTCAGGAGCGGAGCAGGGAGTTTTTTTTAATGTACCAAAAAAAAAAAAAAAAAAAAAAAAAAAACACTGCGGAAGCAAACTTTCCTGCAACTTAACTTTTGTATTACTTCACCCGGAGTCTGGAAGCCCAGAGCGCTCTCGCCGGGCTTTCTTCCTCCAGTTTCTTTTGTTCTTAAGACGGATTTATCGGGCACCGTGTTTTTAAGGTTTTCCAAACCCCTGACCCCACGCGGAGGGGTGGGCCTGGGCAGGGATGACGTCACCTTTTCACAGCAGGGGAAACTGAGGCCTAGACGGCTAAACGCCAGGAAGAGCTGGGTAGTTCGACTACTTTTAAAATATGGTCTCCCATAAGAGAACCTTAAGAGTTAAAAAAAAAAAAAAAAAAAAAAACAGGAAGGAGGGAGGGTGAGGGGACTGCAGGCCGGGCCTGAGGTGCTAATCCTCCAGACTCGGAGGGAAGGAAGGGAGGGTTGCAGGACACCCTATGTTTTAAAAATCCAGCAACTGCTGCACTGGAATGGTCACCGTGGGCAGGCTGCTTTAACTTCTGTGGGTTCACAGGACCCCGATTCTGTGGCCATCACCGCTGCTGCAGCAGGAGCCGTGGGGCGATCGTGCCGACCAGGACTTCTGAGCCCGCAGTTTCCAGGGTCCCCTGCTGGGAGACCCGTGCCCGCAGGTGTCACTGCGATGCTCAAAGGTGGGCGCGAGCGCGGGCTGGGACGGACCCTGACACCGCACCTCACCTTGGCGTCTTTGGGAACTTGACTCAGATTCAACTGACAGTTGCAGAGCTGGGCTCGGTTCTTTCACGAAGTTCTATCACAAAACCATGCCTCACAAGCAGATCCTAGGTGGGAGGATCGCCATGAAGTTGAGGCCAGCCTGGGACTACATGTTGAGTTCAAGGCCAGTCTGGACTACCAGGCAAGACCCTGACTCAAAAAACCATAAACCAAAACAAAACAAAATGTGGGTGCCGAGGCTGGGTCCCAAACTGATGGGGGCGGGGGGGCGCGGTCAGAAGGCTCTAAAGACCCGGTGGCTCGCAGGCACAGCTGTGCTGGGGCCCTTCTCAAACACCTGCCTTGAGCTGCTTCACTTCAGACATCCCGGAGTCCAACAGTGCTTGAAGCACATGATTCAGGCAGCAGGGTTGTAAGACGTGAGCGGAGTATTTGGTGACTTCCCTTCGTCACTCAACGCCACTGCCAGCCCACCAGTGACAGTGTGTGTCTCCATGAGCGCCTTCCCGCTGACCGGGATGCTACACAGTACCAGCCCCGCGCAGGCCACGGAGGGGCGTAAGGACTGGCCGCCCCCGTCCCCGTCAGCAACACAAGGGCCGGGTTGTGGCTGAGGGGGGAGGATTTCCTGTGCAAGGCCAGCCTGGGCTATACAGTGCACGAGAAAGTACACGTGTACACACACACACACACACACACACAGAGAGAGATGAACTACAAGCTTAAACTCAGGTCTCGGGCCGGGGATGTAACTCAGTGGCACAAGTGCCTGCCTGGCAAGAGCAAGGTCCTGAGTTTGATTCCCAGAACCAAAAAAAAAAAACAACTCAGGTCTCAGCCCCAGGGTTATTTCATTGTGCGCACACGGATACCCCAGAATCTGAAAAAACCCAGAACTGCTGTCCCGAGCATTTGGGGTAAGTGGTATTCAACCTATACCCGTCTTCCAACAACTGTGAGAAACGGGAAAAAGAACTTCTTTGGGGGACCACAGGTCCTTATGCCGCCATCTAGATTCTGAGTGTACTTCAGGATACGAGCAACTTATCCTTTAAACAAGCCCAAATACTCAAAAATGTCAATTCCTCTCAAATTCACTCTTAAGGTACTATGTTCGTAATTAAAGTATTAAGAAAAGTTAAATGAAATGGGAAAGGAAGCTTTAAACTTACCCCTTCCCCCAACTAAGTACGTAGAAAGAGCTCATTTATCTTTTTATTTTAAATTTAAAAACTGCATCAAGGGAGGCTGAATCAGGAGGATCACAAATTCAAAGACAGTCTGCACAACTTAGCAAAATAAAAAATAAAAAAAGCTGGGTGTGCGGGTGCATGCTGGTAATTCCCGCAATTGGGAGGCTGCTGAGGCAGGAGGATCACTGTGAGTTCAAGACCAGCCTGAACTAGAGACTCTATCTCAAAAACACAGCAAAACAAAACAATAAGTCCCAAATAGAGATGCTTATCATGCTGTTTTTTTACTTTTCCCTGGTGCAACTCCTCCCCTTTATTTTTTCTCTTTTGAGATCCGTCTTATTCTGTTGTCTAGACTGGCTTCAAACTCCTGAGTTCAAGCGATCCTCCTGCCTCAGCCTCCCAAACAGCTGGGACAACAGGTCCATGCCACCACACCTAGCTCATCTTTATCTTGTTTTATTCACTTTCTGTGTATGTGTGGTGCTCAGGATGGAGCTAGGGACACCCTTGGGCTAGGCAAACACTCTCCAGCTGAGCTACACCCCACTTCATACCATTGCTTACAACTTGCTAACCAGAAAACCTGGAAGTCCAAAAACAAAAGAAGGTATTAAAACTGGTATGGCAATGACAACATTATGCAGCTGTTACCAAACCTCCAAAATGTAACAGCACGAGCGAATGTTGAACTATGTGCTGTGTAAAAACCGAACTACATCTGTTAACTGGAAACAATAGAAACAGGATATAAAGGGAATGCACTGTAGGCCAATTTAGCCTGAGGAACATGCGTGCATCTACAGAAGTCTGTGCACATTAACAAGACGGGAGGCCCAGTGGGAGAGTAACAGGCTCATCTTTGGATGCAGGCATTGCCAGAATTCCCCGTCCCTCTCACTGGCCAACAGGGAGTATACTCCTTACATAATGACGGCATCTCTTGTTTTCCTAAAAGGAGCATAAGAAAACATTCCCTGGAAGGCAGAAAAGGTGGGTCATACAGGTCTTCTTTTAAAATAGCATGAAATTGCATTTTGTCTTCCTTCCGAGTCAGGAGCCTGCCATGGTGCCCAGGCTGACCTCAGCTCAAGGGTTCGAGCAATCCTCCTGCCTCAGCCTCTCATGTAGCTGGGGCTACAGGTGTGCACCACTTCACCCAGCTATGCTACCTCCTTTTGATTTAGGTTTAACAACAAAAAACAATTAAAATACAAATTTTTAATTAGACATGCAGGATTGAAGCATTTGTCCTAAAGAGCAAACCAACAGGGAGGACCCTAAACTTTCAGAGCTGTACACATGTACATGCGTGTTTTTTTGTTGTTTTTTGAGACAGGGTCTCCCCGTGCAGTTCAGCATGGCCTTGAACTCTCTGTGTAGTCCAGGTTGGCCTCCAACTTGAGGCGATCCTCCCACCTCAGCCTCCCAAGTGCCGAGATTATAGGCGTGCACCACCATATCCAGCTTTGCATGTCTTTTCTCTTTATCATTTACTAATGACATTACACAGTAGTAGCAGCAGCTGTCCAAACCTCAGCATAGCGACTGCACCGTGACCACAGGACTGCACTAGGTCTGTCTGTGTGCGGGAGGGCCGATGCCCAGCATAGAACACACACATCACTAGACACACAAGTTGCAAGATAAAAGCCAAATGCCGGACTCCCCCAGACATTCCCCCGCACAAGATGCTCCTGCCTAAGCCCTGCGGTGAGCCAAGGGCTCCGTGCTGGGTCTGACAGGAATCTCTGCCGCCACGCAAAGTGCAAGGAGCCCCGCGGAGCCGTGTCTCTCCCACCCCGGTGGATACAGCTGCCCCCTCCTGGGCTGAGGGGTACCGGGCTGTTCTTCCAGGGTGGGGTGTTTCCTTGGTGTTTTTTATTTTAAAGAGAATAAAAAATAATTAAAATAAAAAAAATTAGAAATGATACAGAATTTTACTAAACAAGATGATAGGAACTGAACAATGGTTTTTATATCGCACATTGTCGTCTTCAAATTAGCTGTTCAGATTATCAGATATAAACATGCAAAATTGGTCAAAAAAATTAAAAAGAAGAAAAAAAATTTTAAGCATTAACTATTCCTTTCAAATGACCAGCGGAAATCAGCAGTACAATTACCCCAGCTATCCTGTGTATATACGTGTATATATTTTTCCCTTCCTTCTTTTCTCCTTTTCCCCCATCCCAGTTGTTCCTTGCCTTTGAGCAGTTTCTTTCCCTTTCATAATATGTATTGTACCTTTCAGATTTTATTTACTTTCAGGTTCTTACACTGGGGAGACAATACGATGTTTACACATGTGAGTCTGATTTATTCCACTTCTGAGTATGGTCTCTAGTTGCATCCACTTACCTATAAAAGCCTCAAGTTTGTCTTTCTGTATAACTGAGTAGTACTCCATGGGATAAAAACACCACATCTTTTTTATCCATTCCTCAGTTGATGGGCATCTGGGTTGTTTCCAAGATTTAGCTATGTATGACAAATTACGCTGCTATAAACATGGATGCACATATATCGCTGTGGTACATTTTCAGTTCTGGAAAAATACCCAGGAGGGGCACAGCTGAGTTGAATGGGACTAGGACCTCTAGTCCTAGTTTTTTTGAGGAATCTCTACACTGATTTTTGAGGAATCTCTACAGTGGTTGCACCAGTCTACACTCCCACCAGCAGTGGAAAAGGGTTCCTTTTTCCATAGCCCCTCCAGCAGTTGTTATTGGTTGACTTCTAAAAATATGGAATGTTTCACAAATTTGCCTGTCATCCTTGTAGAGGGGCCATGCTAATCTTCTCTGCATCATTCCAATTTTAGTATATATGCTGCCAAAGCGAGCACTTGTTTTAGTTTTTTGATACATGGTCCCACTATGTATTCCAGTCTTGTTTTTTAGTATGTATGTTCATATGTATGTATTGGAGACAGGATCTGGCTGTAGAGCCCAAGCTGGCTTGCACTCATGGTAAGTCTCCGGCCTCAGCTTCCCCAGTGCTGGGAT